ACAGGGAAAGAACAAGAGCGAGTTGTTAACGTCATAAGGTACATACTGAACATGCTAGGACTCTCGTCAACAAAGCGGTAGTACTATAGAAATCTGAACCTCTGTGAATCGAAAATATTCTACTCAGATGTCGAAATGACGACGTGCTCAGGCCGGTATAGGTATTCTAGTAGAACGCAGAGACTAGCTTCGCTGACGGAATCATTGAATGGATGCCTGTTAGCGGAAGAGTGCGCTCCACTGGCTGAAAATACGACATGCCAAGGCGCTGTCCTTCTTACAGGTCGAAACGTCCAATTTAGATGGAGAATATGGCTTTTTCCATGAGGAAATGGAGTGTGGTTTGTGCGAAGTGCCGAATACGGAGCCTCTCATACTCATGGGCGATTTTAATGTGCATGTCGGAGTAGAAGCTGAAAAGTGGAACAGCGTGATTGGAAATAACGCTCTAGCGGCCTCAACATTAATAGCAGGAAATTGTTGCGGTTTGGTGCAAACAATAGTCTGTCCACTATGAACGGCTTCTTCGAGCATCAAGTATACTTGGTATCAGGAAATTTCTGCACAGAAGTCGATAATAGATTTGATAATCGTAACGTCTGATTTACGACGCTTTGTAATTAAGTTCACTTTTAAGAGAGGCTCAGAACTGCGAGCCGGCCACCACTTCGTTTTTGGCACGCCATGCTGCAATAAGCAGAGTACCATGCGGCAATCTGATGGCAGAAGCAACCAGAGATTCAAATGGGAAACGTTTTCTTGGGCGGATATGAGAGCGAAATTTGCAAACAAGATTTGAACAGACGCCGGTGACTCATTCAGCAGAGATCGAGTTTTATTGTCCCTGTAGATGAAATCGAACAAGTTGTATAAAGCTTGAAATGTACAGAGGCTGTTGGCATCGATGTAATCCACCCTGAAATGCTTCAAGCAATCTGCGAATGAGGCATGTTCTGGCTTACGCGAATCTGTCAAACTGCTATGATTATGGGAAAGACACTCTTCTGTTGGTGTTATACATGGGCAGAATAGTAAAATTTGGCTAAGGTGATGAGTGCGCCTATGTAGGAAACGTGGAGATGAAAAGGTTGCTGTTTGCAGAAAACCATGTTCCATTGGCGTCTTCTGAAACTGATCTACAACGCTCTCTGAAATGGTTCGCAGCCAAATGTGACGTGGCCGGCATGCATGTGAAAA